ACAGTATATGTATATATTACTTCTTTACCTGCTTATCATTCACACAATATCTATGCTTATTATAATCGTTTTAATTTCGTTATCGTTTGTAGTTTGTTTGCAAACAGAAGTAAAATGAATATAATTGTCATTATATATAATTTTATATGCTTTCTTGGTAATTAATAATTAACAATGTCATTACGAGCCTGATCAAGAGAAAATTTCAGAAGTGTAAAGCTTTCAACAATAATAACTTGATTTTTTGCATCGGTTGTCCAAAAACTCTTGTGTGTAAAGTTTTCTATGTAAAGTTCTCTTTTTACTATGAAATGTAAGACATTTTTAATTTTTGAAGGGGTGACAGTTTTGGAATTAGAAGATCGGCAAATATCTATATGTGCAACATTGAGTTGTCCCTCATATCCCTAGATGGTCCAACACGTATTACAAACACGTGAAACGGAAAAAACATTTTTATCTAAATACATAAAATGTTTAGAAAAAAGAAAACTAAAAAGGGTTATTCATGATATTCCAAGAAATTTAAAAGAATTAGGTTATCAGATAAATGAGAAAGGACAATTTCTTACATTAAAAGGTAAACAAATACATGTTATTATATTGATATATGTCATAATATAGATATACACTAATTATTTTTGTTTTGTAGGAGAAATTTATAACTTTGAAGTAAAAGAAAGAGCATATAATGAAGCTTTATATGATGTTATAATTGGTAATTTACTGTTATTTAGAGTAATAGATAGATTTGTTTACAAGCAATTTAAAACTAATTCTATAGATGTATTACACATATATTTATTTAGAACTTTTTGATGGAATGGGTTGAAGATTACAGAATGATTTTGGATTACAAGAAATCTTGTTGCCTATTAATGCAACAAAAGATGACATTCATAGCAAAATATATGTTAGGTACCAAAGAAAAAAGAATTGACCTTGGTTTTTAATGTGGGTGAATTAAATAAGTTCTAATATTTGTATTAATATAGCTTTAATTTCAATGGTCCAGATTACCTTGAAAATGATAAAATGATGATTTTTATTCCTGGAACAGCAAATATGTAATGTTATACTTTCTAATGATATATATATATACTTAACACATATATGTATGCACATGTTAATAATGTTTTATTTATCATTGATTAGGATTGGATGATGGTCAAGAAGAGTTATGATTGATGTATCAGTTAATGTTTGTAGATTCAAACAATTAATAATAATTGAATAATCAAATAGTTTTTGATAGATATGTAATGTTAAAAAGAAAAAAAATTTCTTTGAAATTAAAAAGGATGGATCAATGATCTCATATGTTAAGCAAGCAAAAGAAATGGGATTTCCAGCAATAATCATTAATCCTAATGAAGTATTTTGGTATAAAGGAAAAGCAGTAGTATGTATTTTCCTTCAATTTACATATTATATTAGAAAATGATTAATTGTAAATCATAAAAATTAATTGTTGTTTCAGCACACTTTACCAAAGACAAATGTGCCATTTAAAATAATCATGGGTATATAATTATTTACAAGACTTATAATAATAAAAATCTTCATTTTTTATTATTATATATTGACATATATATTTAATAATTAGGAAGTGAGACACCAGAATCTCATACCAACTATGTTTTTGAAAATTTTGTCATGTAAGAAAATTTATTATTCTATCTTTCTGAAAATCTTGTTTTTAATGTATTTATTTACATAAATCTATATATATACATGTGTATATATATAGACCATCATCTGCAAATAAAATTTTTATCATTGCTAATAGTTATGGAGGACATTGTGCTGTTGATGTCATGCAAAACTCTTGTAAGTAATTACATAACAATAACAATTTACATTATTATTATATTATTAATAAGGAGTGTTTTATATTTTAAATAAATAAATCAGTTGAATTGTTGAAAAATAGAGTAAAAGGAATAGAATTTACAGAAACAACACATTCAATTGATTTTGTTAAAATTATATTGGATCATCAAAGTATGTATTACTTCTTGGGGAAATTTATTATTATTATTATTATTATTATTATTAATGATCGATAATATTAATGTTATGTTACTCTTTGATATATTTATATTATAAAGAATTGTAGGAATTGGCTTATGTCTAGTGAACCAGCAGGAAGTGAAATATGTGATAGTAGATTTGGATGTATTTCTTTTTCATCTGGTAAAAATATACATACAACTTGTAACAATAAAATAACAACTATGTTATTATTATTAATCCAAATATGTATTGATATTGTTAGGAGTTGAAAATAATGAATTTGTGACATATGAGGTTATTGATAGAGTTTTTGAGCATGTTGCTAAGAAGTTGGAACAGTTGGAAAATGGAGCCACAAAATCTAATGATGAAAATGAAGGAGATATAGAGGATGGATATTTGAGTGAGCCAAGTTATTTCCAAATACAATAATTAATGACGTACAAGATATAGTAGCTTATGGTTTTGGTGATGATGATGATGATGAGGGATCTGGTTGGGGAGATTAAAACAAACAAACCAACTATTATCTTTTTATTTTTTTAATATACATTATATATAACAAATAACAAAATTTTAAATCACATGCTTTATGTAAATCATTTAAAAAAAAATCTCTCACTTGAAAAATGTTTTGTACAATAAAAAATTTGAATAGATTGAATATATTTTGAATTTATAAATAATCATAGTAAAAATAACATTTTTTATTATCACGACACTATTAAAAAAAATATATGAAAAAAGGGCCAATACATTTTAGCATTCATATCAAAGTAAATTATAATAACAACAATAATAATAATAATTAATATTAATGTTGTGTATTAATATAATAAATCAAATAGTTAGTGAAGCTTTAAAACCAATTGATTTAGAAATTATCAATGAATCAGATTTACATGCTCATAATCAAGCTATGAAAGATGTTAGTAGTAATGAAACACATTTTGGTAAGTTAGTTAGATAGATAGATAGATATATTAATTGTAATTGTAATAAGAATTGAATAAGACCTTTTATACATATACACATTGTAAATGTTATTTCTGAACAATTTGAAGGAACGGTAATTATTATTCAATTGATTTATCAATTAATTTATTTGTTTTTATTTTTTTATATCTCACATTTTATTATGATAAGTAAGAAACTTATATATGGACATACCAATTACTTGGAGAATTGAAAAGGGGAGTTCATGCTTTATCCATTAAAGCTAAAACACCAAAAGGAATAAATAGAGAAGAGAACATTGATAAAGAGAAATTGATGGGTAGAAAAGTAATGGAATAATTTGCTGTGGTTACAGTCACATAATCTACAATTTATTTATTTAAAATATTTAATAAAAATCTGAATTTTTGTATTAATATTTAAGTCCGGAACTACAGTTTATTGGCATTACGTAAAAAAACAGCGGCAAGAAATTTTTCGACTAAATTTTAGTCAAAATGCGCGCGTCTTTTTTGTTTTCTTTTTATTGTCATGAAAAATTTAACTATGATAATATATATAATACTTATAGCAAATAAATCAATTGTGTTCTTTTGTAATTGCAAAAAAAAATAATACATTAATTTGGTGAAAGTAATAGATAGTGTCACATTATATTTTTTGTTTATTTATTTTTTGGCGGTAAAAAATAAATAAAAATAAAAACAAAAAAGGTGAGAGCGAGTGAGCGAGTAAAAAGAATTGGTGTTCTGATTAGGTTTTTGTTTAGCTTTTATTAATCAATTAATTACCAATCATAAAGAATTTTATCATATGAAAAGAATTTAACAAAGAAAAAATTGAAAAAATTGAGATGTTTATAATAATAAATTTATCATTTTTGGATTCAATAAAAAAAAAATTTTTTTCTAAAAAATCCATTCATCATTAAATTTAAAGTTACATTAAACTTGAATTGAACAAGTTTTTTTGTTTTTTTTGTTTTTCATATAATAATAATGATTCCACACATACACACACATATCACACATTTACTAAATAAACAAATTTTAAAGACGCATTAAAAAAATAAACAATAATATTATGACATGTATGTGTATGTAATGTACATTTTATTTATCCTCCCTACATGATGATGGTCTATTTTTTTCTGTTGTTGTTGAAAGAAGTTGAAAATAAAAAATATTGATGATCTTTCATTGGTTTGTTGTCTGTCATATGTTAATTTTTTTACAAAATCTTTTCTTTCTCTCTCTCTCACTCTCTCACTCAACTCACTCTCTCCCCTCACTCTCCCCTCCCACTTTCTGTTTAACAAACAATTAATTACATGTTAGTTTCAAAATATAACTTTGATTTAAAAAGGATTTATTCAAAAATATTTATAAATATAAAACTTGTTTAATCATTAATAATTATTGCTATTGTTAAAAAAAAAAATTTTTTTTTGTAAGACTTTAAATGACTTTTATAAATTTGTCGTTGTTGTTGTTCATTATTATGATACTAAATGTTCTCCACATACTAATTATTATTAAGACTTCTTAATTGTTTACACAATTGATCATAATATGGTTTAATTACTATCTGTTATAATTAGCAGTTATTTTCTTACCACAAATATAATAAATATTATTATTACCATCACCATTACCATTACCTCCAACCACACACCATAATTATCGGGAAAATACCAACAATTAATTAATTAATCATTATCAATCATTACCTATTTATGATCGATTGATATTATATTTGTATGGTGACCCAGATCATACAAGATAGAAGGACCAATTATTAATATTAAAATTAAAAAGAGAAAGAGAGAGTTCGTCCACAATGTATCACACACACGCATCTTTTTAATATATTAATATTGGTTAAAGTAGATCATCATCATCAGAGATTATCTATATTATTAAATTAATTGGTGTGAAAAAAAGCTGAATATGACCAAAGGTGTAACAAATATAAATAAAAAACGGCCACGATGATGGTTGTGGCGGTGATAGTAGAAAATAATGATGAAAGTTGATGACGTTAATGACGTTGAAACAAAAATTAAATTGTTTTAATTATTATTTTAATTTTAATAAATAAATAAATAAATAAAACGTAAATAAATATTACATTTTCATCCACTCAATGTTTGTATATTTCGCCACTTTATTTATTATTTCTTGTTTATTTCGTTCGACGGTGTAGTCCAGAACCATTTTACATAATTAATTAAAAAAAAAATCAATATAAAAAAAATAAAAACAAAAAACAAAAATAGAACTAAACGAACGATTGGATATTTGTTTTTTATACTGTTTTTATTTATTATCAATTTTTTGTTTTCAGTTCTCTTTTTTTTTTTTTTTTTTTCAATATAAAAAAACTCGGGATTTACAGTACATACACGCATACATACATATAATATGTACATGATCTTTTTTAATGCACCAAAAAAATTATTATTTGATTTAATCATCATCAATTGTATATAAAAAATATTGATTGATTATTGATTAATTAATTAATTAATTAATGATATTTGAAAAAATTGATTCCTTTACCAGCAGAAAGAAATAACAATAATTATTAGCAGACGGGAAGTTTTATTATAGTACAAAAAATATTGAAAAGAAGAAGGGTGGTCGTGTGTGAGAGGTGCGTTTATTTTTATTTTATTTAAAAAAAGAATTGAGAAAAGTAAAAAAAGTCGGATCAATAATAAAAAAAATAAAAATGATGATGATGTAATAATTATATATGGTAATGATCTTTATTTGTGTTTATTTATTAAAACTAAAATTGACCATTAAAAACCGTATTCATAATAAAAAAAAATTAAAATGAGAAATATAATAATAATTCCTTTAATAATTAATTTATTTTGCCAATAAGATGGGAAAAAATATTGTTATCATGATGCAAAATGAAACTACCACTTAAAAAAAATGGGGAAAATTAAAGTTAAAAATTAAAGTTAAATTAAAATAATTTTAAAATTATAATATCAATCAAACATCATCTATCGTCCTTGACAACAACAACATCATCAACCATCTGAAACATTTTATTTTATTTATTATTATTATCTTTAATTAGTAAAAGGAAACAATAATTATTTTTTCATTAAAAAAATGATGTATGTAAATGTCAAAAAAATGGTGTTTTTTGTAATAATGTATGTAAGTAAATGCTAACTAGATGAAATTAATTATTTTTTTTCAATTAATTAATTAATTAATTAATTAATATTTATTTGTTTATTTTTTCCATTACTGCTTTTTTGTTTATAATACTGATGTGATGTAAAGTTTGTGTGTGAGAGAGTAATATATAAATATTAAGTTTGTATGTATGTGTGGATGATTCGTTATGTATAGTTTGTATGTATGTATGGATAATTAGTATGTATGTATGGATAATTAGTGGATTTACTTACTATAATAATAAGTATGGATAAATACATGCGCGTGTGTCCATTGATGTGTATGTTTATCCCGCACGATTGAACAATTTTTAGTAAGTAGTGGTAATATAGCTGGCATTTTGTATATGGCAGGTTGTGTGATTTTAAAATTAAAATTAATTTTTATTAGCCATAGTTGGCTGGCTGATAAATGGAAAATTGACCTAAAATGTATATATATTTTTGAGCTGGTAAATTAATAAATTAAAACTAGTATCTTTTATTAATTGGGGTAAAATTATAGATTTAGCAAAATAGGTTAAAGTTTCTACTGATGAGAGTAATTTTTTTTGTGGAGAAGAATAAGCGCACATGTAGGTTGAATAGGTAGGTAGAAGTTTAGCAAAGAAACTAACTAAAAAGTAGTAATCAATTGTAATATCATAACAATAAGAAATGAATAAATAAGGAGGGAGAGAGGATCTTTAGTATTGTTTAACTATTTGTATGACAGAAATCATTTATTGAAAAAATAAAGATTTCAAGAAAACAAATTTATCATCACAATAGCAGTAGTAATAGTAATATTTAAAAAATGATTACTTTATTTGGCATACAATAAAAAAAACAAATTAATATTAATTAATTAATCATTCAATTAGAAAGCTGTCAAGTTTATTTTTATTTGGATTTTTTTTTTTTTTACCAAATTACTCAAATTACTAAAAAGAAAAAACTATTAAAAGCGAAAATTTCCGTTATTAGTTATTGTTTTTGGATTATTATTATCATTTATTTATCTGATTACAATTGGAAGTTTGTGCGTGTGAGAAGAATGAATGATCGGATTAGTCGATCGGATTAGTCGATTCAAAAAATATTTCTATTAGTCGATTTATTATTATTATTATTATTATTATTATTATTATTGTTGTTATTTATTATTATTATTATTATTATTATTATTATTATTATTATTATTATTATTATTATTATTTTTATTTATTTATTTATTTATTTATTTATTTATTTATTTATTTATTTATTTATTTATTTTCAAATCATAGAAATTTTTTCTTACGAAAAGTTTTTTAATAAAACATCCGCCGTTCTCCGTTGTCGATTTTGGGAAAAAAACATTTAGAATTTTTTTAAAATACAAATATAAATATATAAATACATATATAATATATATAAACAATATAAATAATACGAATAAACAATATGAATAAACTTGAATTTGATCAAGTTTGTTGTTGTTGTTGAATCTCTCTCTCTTCTCTCTCTTTCACTCACACAAAAGCATATGACATGAATAAATTTAGATAAAATCATATTATAATTGGTAATATTCAAGAAAATTGTTATTTAATTGGATAATTAATTTAATTAATTAATTAAAAAACTTAAAATAAACAAATTTTATTTATTATTTGATTGTGTGTGATTTATTATTTATTATTTATTTGAACTTAAACTTAATTCGTACAAGATTTACAAATGATCTTTTTTCTGTGCTCTATTTTAGGTAATATATAAAAAAATATCGTACGTGTAACTTCGAAAACGCGAGTCGCGAGCCTTTCTTCTCCTTCTCTTATTATAATTACAACCATTCAATTTCTTTGTCATCATCGCTAAAATTACGGAATTCTAGCGAATAAATATTATTATATAAAATATAAAGTATAAAAAAATTTAATGTAATAATAATAATAATAATAATAATAATAATAATAATAAACAATAAATAAATCCTCATTAAAACACATCACTGTAGACATGTATGTCTCATGTTATCGCAAGTGAGCTTATTATTATTATACTATTATTATCGTTATAATAAGAAATGAATTAATGGATGGGTAGATCGTGAATACTTTTACATTACATATTATTAAAAACAATTATGTGTAAAAATCAACTTAGAACTAAC